CTCTCTCTCTCTCTCTCTCTCTCTCTCTCTCTCTATTTGCATTTTAGCAGGCTACTGACAGTTGGGAAGATGGTTTAAATGTGCTTAACTGTCATATGTGACAACACCAAAAAGCTTAATGGCATTTAAAATAATAAATTATTTAGAATTGTTGATGAAATATGATCTGGACATGTTCTTGACAGTTTTAGTGAGATTTAGCCATCGTTAAGAGAAGGAACATCTGGCTTCATAATGAAGGATGTGGAGAACACCTCTCTACACATCTGTTGTATGATTCCTGTTGTGCTGATAGGAGTCAATGTATGTATTGAATAAACTCCAGATTTACATTTATGAAAAAAATCTAATCAAATCCAAATTCCAAATCCTTTGGTTAAGCCATGCAGCAAACCGACTGAATTCTTGAAAAGTTGACTTCCCGCTTGGTGAAGTTTGTTGAAGTTTACAGACTGCCGTCATCATGTTTTTCTTTGGGGAAACTGGGAGAATATTTTACCTGCTGTGATTGTTATTGTTCTAATTCCCTGGCTATTTTCCCATTTCCATATTTTCAGATTTTGAGTCATGGCTGTATCCTGGGATTAGACAACATTTGTGATCATCAGTAGCATACACACGGGTAGACAATGAGGAATGTTTTATTTTATTTATTTATTTTTTTACTTTTGGTAATTGAAACAAAGTTTGAATAAAATATGTATATTAGATGAAAGCTTAAGCTTATAAAACTTCAGCTTAAACAAAATGCTGCTTTGGCAATTAACTTAATTAGTTTAGTACAACTTAAGTTTAAGTACCAAAATTACTAAAACTGAAATAAAAATAAAGATGAATGTAAATATTCTTAAAAACTAATAAAAATGACAAAATCACTAAAAGTAAAATTAAAATGAAAACTGAAAATATAAAAAAAAGCTCATTCTAAACTTATAATAAATACTATAATAGTATATAATTATTAATAAAATAACACTGCTGCTGGTCTTGGCGACATTTTTACAACTCTAAAATTGTAAAATGTATGTTATGTTATGTTATGTTATGTTATGTTTAGAATATTAATATTCTACCACTTGAAATTTTCGGGGGGTGCCCGAAGCGTGAAACCGTATGCAGAAAGGCACGGAAAACATAACGCGTTCTATGGAGCCACTAAAGGGACATGGATAGCCGCTTGCTAGCGGTAGACTGTTACATTACAGTACATGAAGTTTACTTACCACATACACAGAGTAAGGAGAGATGACTGATAGGACAATGGCGAATGATTTGCAGATACTGAGCACCACTGACAAATATCTAATTTTGTAAAATGTGTGGTTGCGATAGTACTGGTCCGTAGTATAGAGTCTGGGTGATCGCGAATCTCGAAAGTGAAAATAAAATGAGAGCATGCATTCGAAACCGGTTTCAATGCCCTGCATATTATGGCGCTCTTTTCCACTGCGTGGTACGACTCGGCTCGGTACGGCTCAGTACGGCACGGCACGGCTCGGTTTGCGTTTCCACTGCAGTTTAGTACCGCTTTAGAGTGGGCGGGATTATTCACATGTCGTTACAGTTGCGCCGCCGTTGCCTTTTATTCCACTGCTCACGCTCAGCTTGCAAATGTATTCCTTCGCTCTAGTCTCCAGTCCACCCTGTGATCTCCACTGCCATCTGCTCCGTGGCTGAGCTCATCGTGCCCTCAGACTGCTGGAAAACACTGAAACCCCGCCGTTGTGATCCTGTCAAAGACTCCTTTGATTTTTTTGCAGTAAAGGCCAGTTAACATCTGATATGACTAAATATTTATGCGCACGACAGCAGAATACGGTAATCAGTTGTGTTTGTATTGTTAATTCAGCTCTGATCACACACACTTTGGTTTAGGTTATTTTTTGCTTCTCCCAGGTTCAATTTTGCTATCTAATTTTGATTATATATATATATATATATATACAGTGGGTACGGAAAGTATTCAGACCCCCTTAAATTTTTCACTCTTTGTTATATTGCAGCCATTTGCTAAAATCATTTAAGTTAATTTTTTTTCCTCATTAATGTACACACAGCACCCCATATTGACAGAAAAACACAGAATTGTTGACATCTTTGCAGATTTATTAAAAAAGAAAAACTCAAATATCACATGGTCCTAAGTATTCAGACACTTTGCTGTGACACTCATATATTTAACTCAGGTCCTGTCCATTTCTTCTGATCATCCTTGAGATGGTTCTACACCTTCATTTTTTCGCTACAATTTGAGTTTTTCATCTAATGTTTATATTTATAACAAATATTAAATATATTTATATAAATTATTTATAGCATTTAAAAAATGACCAGGCTTACAAATAAGTGAAATAAATATTCCTAGCATTAAACCACCAATTTGAAAAATAAAAGGAAGAAAATATTAACATTTTTTATGACAACGTGGTTTCACCAAGGAGTGAAGAATATGGGTTAAAATATATACAATTATTATTATTTTTTTTTATATAATATTATGTATTGTTAAATAATATATTTTAAATATATTATATGTTATATAACAGATTTATTTCTTGTCGTCGACAATTAACTAAAAATTAATTTTGGACCGTAGAGATAGTTGTGTAAGATATAACATAGGCTTTTACTTAAATCTGGTGGAAAATCTTGGCAATTTCTCATATTTTTACAGTGCATTGAGAGATAAAAAGTAGTACATCAAAAGGCAATCCTTTCTATTCCTGTTACTTAACCCTCAGACAAGGTCATTTTGCATTTGATAATGCATTATTCAGTCCTATCTTTACGTCTCCTGGTTCATTATGCTTGTGTGTTTGTGGTGTTTCTCTCTGTTCTTTCAGAAATGTTATGAATAAAGGGTCTGTGGATTCATTTAGCATTAATTTGTTTGTTAGAAAATAAACGAAAAAAAAAAAAAGCACGCTCTGGGAATAGATCTTGAAGCTGTGCACTTCTCTTGTCTTGCTTTGTAATGGCAGCGGGTTTGAAGTGAACATTCGCTGCAGGAGGTGCTTTGAGAGGGAAAGGTTCGTTCAGGGTGAGGGCAGGTTACTGGACTCTTCTTTCCTCACAGTCATCGTTCAGAGAGGATTTTAAAACTCCAATTCAGAGGTGACCTTTTGAAACATCTGAATTTTCAATTAAATTTTGAATGTTGATATCAGGAAGAAAAGGACACGGCAATCTTAACACTGTCAACCTAACAAGAGTTTTTGGAAGAAAAGTCGTTTTTGGATTGGAAAGGCCCTACTTGTATATAATACTGTTATATGTGTGTGTGTGTGTGTGGTTCAGGTATACGCTACATTATGGGGACAAAATATCCTCACGAAGATGGCAATATCCAAAATCGTTGTCCTTATGGGAAAATTTTTTTGGTCCCCATGATGAAACAACCTTATAAATCATACAGAATGAAGATTTTTGACAATCTAAAAATGCCAGTAGTTTTGTGTGATGGGTAGGGTTAGCATTAGGGAATAGAAAATACAGTTTGGACAATATAAAAACCATTACGCATATGGAATATCCCCATAAAACATGGAAACTTAATGTGTGTGTGTGTGTGTATGGTAGATTTTCTATTTTTCTGGTCTCTTTTTCTAACCAAAGCATTTATTTATTTATTTTATACAGCAAAAACACTAATATTGTGGGAATATTATTACAATGTAAAATAACTATATTCTATTTTAATATTTTTAAAAATGTAATATATTCTTGCGATGCAAAGCTGAATTTCCAGCATCATTACTCCAGTCTTGAGTGTCACATGATCCAGCAGAAATCCTGAAAATCCAAAGAATCCTGGGAAATTTTTTTTTTTTCAAAAATATTAAGCTGCACAACCATTTTCAATTTCTTATTATTATCAATGTTGAAAATGATCATGCTGCTTGATATTTTTAAAAACATTCTTTCTCAGGATTCTTTATATTGATGAATATAAAGTTCAAATAAACAGCAGTTATTCAAAATAAAAATATTTTGTGGCATTATTAATATATTTGCTGTCAACTTTTGCTTCTTTGCCGAATAAGTGTAAAAAATAAATCTAATTAAATAACACTTTTGAACATGCCAAAGTTTAGTTTAAATACCAAAATATATCCGTTAGAAATAATCAAATCAAGTGAATATTCAGTAGCAACAGTTTTTCTCTGATTTCATTTCTGTCATGAAAAAAAAATTTTTTTTCAAAAGTTACTTTTGTGAACTATTCGTTGGTTTATCACCCCATCAGACCTAAACCAGTGCAGAAAGATTCTCTGGAGACTGAATGTCAATAATCATTAAAAAGTTGAACTTTTGACTCATCGGCGCATGCCCAAAGTGGCTGTGGCAACAAAGAAAGTCAAAATACTTTATTTCTATCAGACATTCAATGCAACTGAGTCAACGATAACTAGCTTTTGAAGCATTTGTCTTCAGTCTGTAAGAAACTTCTCTATTGTGTTTAATTGCAGGCAATGAGTTCGGCCATCCAGAATGGCTGGATTTTCCCCGAGTTGGCAACAATGAGAGTTATCATTACGCCCGCCGGCAGTTCAACCTCGTGGACACGGATCACCTGCGTTACTGGCAGCTGTACGCTTTCGACCGAGACATGAACCGCACGGAGGACAAGTACGGCTGGCTGGCTGCTCCCCCGGTGAGAGAAAAATACATTTTCCCTCTCCTACTGTACCTTGTCTTTCTTCTCAGTTCCACTAAATATTGCTTTCAGTTCTTCCTTTATCAGTCAAACTCGTAGTGCGTATCACCACAGTTTGGCACATCTTTTTATCATCTTCCATGTTCTCAATCTGCCGTCTCTTTCTCATTCTATCTAACTCCCTTTGTCTGCAGCATAAAAGTGTTTATTTTCCATCACCAGAACATCTGCAGTTTCACTAAGGGTGCTTTCACACTAGCACTTTTGGTGCGCACCCGGGTTCGATTGACGTCAGTTTTCGGTTCGTTTGGATGATGTGAACGCTGTCTTCCGAACTCGGGTGCGCACCCTCGAACCGTACCCGAGTCCGCTTAAAAAGGGTGGTCTGGGGTATGGTTCATGTGAACTCCGGTACGGTTCGCTGCTGATGTGAACGCAAATTGTACCAAATCCCGGAAGTGAACCGCTATTAATGACGTATTATTTGATAACAAATATGTGTTTGTGTGTGTGTATCACTCACTTTCCTGACGAGCCTGACTGACGCGCTGAAAACAGAGAGCTGTATATCTCATTTCTATTCACCTTCAGCGTTCTTTAGAGCATTTGCAGTGCATTCGTGAGGCAGACGTAAGTGCCGTTATGTACCGAAGCTTTGTAAACAAAACGACCGGTTCAAAAACGTAAATATATAAAAGTGCAGAGAGCAATGTTATGCATTTGCCGCCTTCTCCTGCGCC